GACTCCTAGGGCTTCATCTGCACAGAGTAAGAGGGGGGTAGAAGAAGAGGAGGAAGAGGCAGATTCAGAAGAAACAGAAGAGAACGAGCGTTATGTTGAAGAGGGAGATGACTCTGATGATGATGGCCTCGAATCCGATGCACATGATGAGGCTTGCCATACTTTTTCTGATGATGATTGAAGACACTTGACTCTTGGTGTTGAGTCTTATAATTTCTTTTTCTTATTTTCTAGTTTCTACTATCTACGCTTATGTGTGTGCTTGTATGGTTGTATCGTTGTATGAAAATATGAATTATGGAATGATATGAACTATGGAGTATGGAGTATGGAGTATGGAGTATGGTCTATGGAGTATGGATTATGGATTGTGCCAGTATTACTAATTTGATGATTACTATTATATTTATTTTTGTTTGTGCTAGTAGTAGTTCATCTATTATGAATATACAAGAGTTTGAAACTTTTTGGATTATGGGATTTTTAATATTTTATGATATATACTCATATTCCCCTGCCCCTTGCTCCTCTTCTTCAACCTAGGTTCTAGGCCCCTTTAGTTCTGGGCGATTGCCTAGGCGTTGGGTAGTCAGGACCAATATTCATAAAATCGAACTGGAATGGATAACCGGACATGGGGCTGGAAGCAGTTTAACCGACTTAACCGGTAAACCAGCCGATTCAATTGCTCTAATCAGGCAAGTCCCGGGCGGTCAAAAAAGTGTTGAAAAAATAAAAAACATGCAAAAAAATCTACTAAAGTATGAAAAGCATTTAAAGAATGATTAAAACAAAATACACTCAAATGAAGTTGAAAATGAATGAAAGAAATGGATTTTAACGAATCGATTTGTGCCTCGGGGTACTTTTAAAATTTTCTGAAAAAAAAGAGAAAATATAAAAGTGAGTATTAATGACCAAACCAATTTTTATTCTTTACCATAATGTAAAGAATATTAAAATAGTGTTAAAAAAATCGACTCGCCCAAGGTAATCGGGACCTGGTCGAGGCGAGATGCTCGGGCGAGTTACTCGAACTCGCTCGAGTCCTTTTTAAAGAAAATGAAGAAAAATTAAGTTATATATAATATAGGCCCTTCTTTTTTCAGCCAAGTAGTAAATGACGTACTGGTTAGGGCATCTAATGTTCAAGGACCTCTTTATAAAAGGTTTCTAGTTCGATTCTGGGGGGCAGGTATTTTTTTCGATCTCTAACAAAACGAAGTATTCAAAAAAACGTTGAAGTTATAACAAAATGAAGTAAAAAGCTGGCGGTAGGATTTGAACCGTGATTGAGATAAAATTTAATTGTCAAAGCTTTCCAGTAAACCATTTTTGTATATCTGATATGAATTTGAGGTAGCATTTTATTTAAAGTTTAAAATACCAGTTGATCACCAAAACCACCCAAAACTGGAACCGGCCAGTATCTCACCGGACAGTTAGCGGTTAGATCTCCTGGTTTTGTGAACACTGATTGTAGCACAATCGACGGGCTTGGGACCTAGCTTTATGACAGCAAAATCCTTGAGCTTGTGGCATTATTGAAACTGTTAGGGCTCAATGCCTTCCAAGTTCAGTGAGAGACAAAAATGGTGTGCGGGCCTGTCCATTTGGAGCTTTTCCACTGACATCCTTTCAACTGGGCAGTGCCTAGGCAGCTGGGGGGTCCTGACCAATGTTTGCAAAACCGAATGATCTAATCGTTAATCGCCCGGTTAGATCAGAACCGGCCAGTTCCGGTTTTGAGTGGTTTTGGTGATCAATCAATATCTTAAACTTTAAATAAAATACTACAAATACTACTTCAAATTCATATCAGATATATAAAAATGATTTACTGGTTAGCTTTGATGATTAAATTTTATCTCAATCATGGTTCGAATCTTGCCGCTAGCTTTTTACTTCATTTCGTTATAATTTCAATTTTTTTTTTTTTAAGACTTCATTTCGTTGGAGTTCAAAAAAATACCAACTTGTCAGAATCAAACTAGAAACCTCTTATAAAAAGAGGTCATGTAACATTAGGTGCACTAACCAGTATGTCATTTACTACTTGGTTGACAAAAGACGAGCCTTATATTATATGTAACTTAATTTTTTTCTCCATTTTCTTTAAAAAAAAATGATTTGGACTTGGGCGAGTAGCTCGTCTCGGCCAGGTCCCGATTACCTTTGCTGAGTCGATTTTTTTAACATTGCTTTAATATTCTTTACATTATGGTAAAGATAAAAAATTGTTTTGGTCATGAATACTCACTTTTATATTTTTCCTTCCTTTTCAGATAATTTTAAAAATACCCCAAGGCACAAATCGATTCGTTAAAATCCATTTTTTTCATTAATTTTGAACTTCATTTGAGTGTGTTTTTGTTTTAATCATTCTTTCTATACTTTTCATATTTTAGTAGATTTTTTTTTTGTATCGTTTTTATTTTTTTCAACATTTTTTTTACCCCCCGGGACTTGTCCGGTTAGAGTGGTTGAATTGGCCTGTTTACTGGTTAGGCCGGTTAAACCATTTCCGGGGCCATATCCGGTTAACCGTTCCGGTTCGATTTTACGAACACTGGCTACAATAACCTTTTTATCTCTAGCTAGAGAGAAGATTCAAAAGAGTGCACCAAATACAAGTAAAAATTAGAAGGAATGTTAATTATTCAACCCCAAGAGGAAATAACTATCCCTTTTTACAAATAACTGATCTTTTCACAAATTTGATGATGGGTTCTTCAAGATTTTCTCTTGTATCCCCAATGCACGGACATGACAGCTTCAAACTCTCTAGACATGTTCATCATATCAGTATTCCCCTGACTCTGGACACCTTGGAATGATCGACTTAAGGCTTCTCCCAAGCATCTCTGCGAAACAAATTGGTGCTTTATTTAAAATCAAAACCTGCCTCATAGATGCAGCCATACATACAATGATATCATCCACAAAATGAAGATGAGAAACTCCGGTCAAACACAATGAAGCATTTTGAAATCCCCATGTTTGAGTTCTACCAAACTTTTTTGAGAAGCCTTAGGCACTTCAGTGATGATAAGTTACTAGAATTAGTAAACACAATCTTAGTGCATTGAGTCCAATTGTTCGACCATCTCGTCATCATCGTTTCGGCCTTATATGTACATCCCCACATTCATTAAGACGCGTTTATGTTATGGTTATCTCTATCCATAGGGCATTTTGGTTTAAAATTTTGTCTTGCCTTTTTCCTTTTTGGATTGTTCACCCCAAAGATCCATGTCGGATTGTTGGATCGTCCGGATTGATCTAGATTGATCCACATTCGTGTCCATAAAATTATTAAAAACAAAATAAAATGAAATAAAAATAGGGGTTTATGGGGTGGGGATTTAAGGAGACCTAAGAAAACATTAGATACGCTTAAAAGAGAAGAAAAAAAATAGAAATGGGGGATTTTAGGAGGGAACTCAGTCGGGAGGCATACCATCCCAGAACCTGTTCGATTGCGACTAATTCCCCATCCGGATCAGCAATTTAGTTCAGGAATCGATGGGTTTCAAAATGCTGGATGAACCTTTTTTTTTTTTTTTGTAGTAATTTACACGAGAATTGATCACTACCCCCTTTTTCTTTTCTGATAGTGAGCTTTGTTCCACATTTTCTTAAGTTGAAATTCATACAGGTGGATCCCTCCCAAATTGATGCAAGTGAATCTCTCTCTCTCAACGTGTTGTTTTTGGGTGGTAAATGTATGCTCATTAGACATGTGGCGTCTGCAATGAGTGTTAAGACTTCATATCTGTGTGAGGTCACATATTTAACTTCCATTAGTTTAAACTAAAAAATTAACAACAAATATATCTACTTGTACGTGTGTTTAACTTGACCAAGCTTTCTTTCTTCCATTATATGACACTAATAGGCATATCTTAATATTAACACTAAATGCTGCCCCTCTACATTGTTCCATTTCTTGATTTTGTTGATGTGTTTTTGTTTTGTTCTTTTCCTTATTTTCTTGTATTTCATTCATGTATGTCTATATTTTGTTTGTATGAACACTTTTTGAAGAATTATGTTCCGCACTTTTTCGTTTGTGTTGCTCTGGACACTGCTCTATAGATTCTCTATACTCTTTTTCTGTATTTTCTGTTGAATTTTTCCAATTCTCACATTGACACTATGTAATACCTAGTGCTTGTGGGTTATGACTTGCAATGCCATATAACTCAATCTTGTTATAGTTCATACAATGATCCTTTGTGCACAGTTTCATGTATTTGTCCCTGGTTTATTTTTTATTTCAGTGAATCGAGAGGTGGTAGTTTTTGTTAGTGGCAAAGAAGAACCCAATTTCCAGTATCTTGAGTTTTAGCAATAGAATTGTTGCTGTTAAATTTGACATTGATATGTCTGGAAATTGTGGCTGTTTTCTGCTCCCTTGAGAAGCAATTGAGGCACGCACATTGGGAACGGCATGTGTTTCAGCAAATATATAACATTATTTTCCTTTTCTTTGGGTGGATAGGTAAGATGGTATTTGGTCTGGTACCCACTTACCTTAAGTCAATTTTATGCAGATTGTATTCTTCGTAGGGCCATAAAATGGCAATTACTATAACATGTTGATGAGTAGCCTTATCTAAACACCATATTCACTACCTATCAAGTTTTTCTGAAGTCCAACTCCATGAATTGATGAATGATATAAGCTTGCGTGAGTAGATATAGCATACTGCCCACCATCGCCTCTCATTCATGGGCAAGGGAGATTAACTGTACTCGGTGAATCTCACCGAGAACCAGAGTCCGTGTATGGTATAACTAAATTATGTATTCATATGGTATGACGTGAGGGCTATAAACCAAATTGGTTGTGAACTCTTTGTTAGACAAAGGGTACATGATGTTCTTGAGTAGTTAACTGGCAGGGCTCTTGCGTTGTTTTTAATTTAGGAATCAGATATTTCACATCCTTCATCTCCACAAACTGGACTCAACGTCATTGCCTGTGTTATATGCAGATGGAAGAAGTAATCAGTCAAGCTCAATCAACAAAAGCAGTGTTGAGCTCCCAAAGGACTCTGTTTGCTGATGTTCAGGGAAAAGTCAAGCAGCTGAGCGATAAATTCCCCATTATCCGAGGCCTTCTCGGTATGTGTATAGACTAGACCTCTCTCTCTTTCTCTCTGCACATAAAGTTTGATGAGAATCCCTCAATTGCTCACCTCTGTGTTCCACAACTTACAGGTGCAATCAGAAGGAAGCGATCCAGGGACACTCTCATCTTGTCTGCAGTTATCGCGGCCTGCACTTTGTTCCTGATAATCTACTGGCATTCAAAGTAAAATGAACCTTTGTATCAGTTTATTCATTTCTTTCGTAGAAAGGAAACAAATGAAAAATAACAATGCTAGTTTTGTGATGTCTTTGTTTGAGGTATATTGTTTGTGTCCGAACAAAGAATGAAAATCAATTTTCTTAACACGATTCTTAGTTTTGGTCATCCATTGGCTATATATACAATACAATGCAAAAGACAAATAAGTCGTTTTATGCCTTTTGGAGTCATCTTTGACCCTTTGTGTGTGAGCCTTTGCTTTGCCCTGAAGATGACACGGAAAGAGGAAGCTCCTCTTTACTTGGCATCACAGAGGCCCGTTTTAGGGTCACAGAAGCCATCTCGATCAAGTAGTATTTGTGGAGGTGCACTCAGTAATGGCGAAGAAGGGGTGCCATAGGCATTCCGGCGGCTGTTGCCACACCCAAGACTTGTCCTTGTGCTAACCCCTGTTGCAGGATTAGTCCCACTTGCGTATTTGCATAGTGCCTGCACATGAGAGAGAGATCAGGAACAATAGGAATGAAGTTATAAACAAACAAATAAGCACAATCAAAGAGACACTTGTTCAGTATAATGCCCAGAAAAATATTTGAGCACTGGAAACTCTGTTCACTTCTAAAAATACATAATAGGTTGTGTATCATGTATGATTCCAGGAAGAGTGCATTTTTTAAACAAGAAAACAGTGCTACCTATTTACAACTATAGAAAATCAAGTATGACGAGGCTTACCATGAGCCAGCCATAAAAGTCTTGTGAATATAACATGTCAAATAAGGCATGCAGGGATCCAGCCTTGTGCAGTGTCAAAATTTAAAAGTCTTCTGCGCTATAAATACACCAAGAGAATACTTGTAAGTCCCTTAAAAAAACATACGCGTAACTCCCTTCACAAGGAAGAGAATACTGCAAAAGAGATGCACAGGAGCTGTACAAATATGATATTGGGCTGGCTCCTTGTATGTTCTCACATATGATAACTTTTGAGTTCCTGTGCTCATGCTACTAGTACTACCTCCACGCTACTGGTCTATTGTATGAATGGGTGGAGGAAATTTACCAAGAACTCTCCCACAACAACATTTGAGAGTGTCATGTTGAAGGCAAACACTTTGATCTTACTATTGCATTAGCCTTAATAAATAGATACAATGAATTCACAAATCTCCATGTTTAGTGACATGTAGAAAATTAAATTTTGTTTGGGAACCATGGGCACAAGTATGTGAAGTTCCTTACTGAAATCACTTGTAAAGAGCTAGTAGAAAACTTTAAGAAAGCAGCTCAAAGGGAAGGGTCTTGACTTTTCAACCCTACATACCTAACAAGAACTCCTTACACTAGAGGAGATGTAGTTGGAAAGCTTATTGGTTGCAGTGGTTTGACATAGAAATCTAGAAGAATTAGCGATGGATGGTGAACAGGTCAAAATAAATAAGAATTAATGTAGCATGCAGATACAGTATGTCGAAACAGATATCAAAGAAGAATATTGTTACACATCATGGATTATGAGCAAACGAACAAGAATGACCAAAATGAAAACGAAAAAGAGAAAACAAAGAGAAAGAAGGCACGGCAAAGGTTAAAGGAAAAAGGGTTAGCCTTTTTTTTTTGTGATATTGTTAACATTGCATTGATTACTAAAGGTCCCCGAGGGGTAATACAAATCACTGAGACAGGTGACGATGAAAGAAAACAACTAAAACGAAATACAAGTATAAAACATACAAGGGGGAGCCTTTAAAACTCATCTGTCTTTTACAAAAGTAAGCGAGGGAGAGAAAGTTATGCCTAATAGAATATCTCAGGAAAAAAACAAAAAAGGAAGTGAGAAGAAGATGAGATAAATAACAGGTGGTGGTAGGTTTTATGTATCCAAAGATAACTACCTCAACAGACCTCATAAGTGCATTCCCTGGTTTTTTTGAGAAAATTGGCGCCGACTTGATACAGATGGCTGGTTAAGTCGCAACTAGCATCTTAAAAGCAAACGACCAATATGGAAATGTAACACATAAAAGCATTGGAAAAGTATCCTAAAATCCAAGGTTGTGGTATAATCCATTGGGGTCATGACCATTCAATGAAACAAACAGTAATGAAGAGAAAGGGGTCCTAGTGTGTTCTGGTTGGTTCCACCCTCGTCCATCACTATCCCTCATTTCATGGGATGGCAATGACTGTAGTGATCATGGATTCATGGCATAATCCATTTAATTATAGAATACTTCCCCATGAGCAGAATGACAGACAAAGATTTGTGTAGCCGGCCCCAATTAATTGGGAAAAAGCTATAATGATGATGATACTTTTCCATGAGCATACACAATTAAGACAGTACTTCAAATATGGCTCAATATATATCACATTTGATCCCTACTCTGGCAACAAGAAAACTTGATTTCTTTCAAATACCTGCTTTTGAGGAAGATCCAATACTGCATCACTGAAGTCGGCACCTTCAATTATGGCACCACCAAGGTCACTTCGAGTGAGAACTGATCTTACCAGTATAGCATTTGTAAAGTTAGCTTCATTAAGAACCTGTAGAAAACAACATCAAAACTCCACTAAAGCTCCAAAAAGAAAGATGATAAGTGTACCATTCCAATCTATGCACACCACAGAGTTTGGCAGATGGGCATGTGAACTTAGTACAAGTGTCCACTTGGGCTTGATCATCTCCGCAGCAATGGATCATGACCAGAATGGCTGTAACAGCTCACTAAAATACATCCAAAGCTTATATAAGAAGATGAATTTGACTGGTATAGTTTTTGGTGACCTGAATACACCAGTTTTGGACACATGGAAACACACATTCCTCAACATTGGTAGACGGCAAACGCAGTCGAGTGATTAGCAAAATGCATCATTTAACAACAAATATTTTAAATAAGAAACAAGTTCTAACTTGCTTTCTTCATGCAATGTTGGCAGCCGAAATATAGGTGTCAGGATTCCCTTTGGGTACAGAAGGCTCACATATGGAATTTTAGAAATTTCATAGCCTTTGGGGTCAGGTAAAAATCTCAAGAGGCCCCTCTGGACACATTTACACCCCTTTCTCTGTGGCACAACTGATTGGTCTCATCCTATACTCTAGTCTTTGTTGTCTATACTGTTTTATCATCAAGGAACCAGTCTCTTGAAACTCTTGGACTCAATCCTTACATTGGAGAAATAAGTAAACCACATGTACTGTAAGCTAACTCCATAGCTATACATCCATCTAGGCAATAGCCACCCTCTCTCATGTTTAAATTCAATTGTTATTGGTCTCTTAAAAATCTGATACATGTGTCTAGCTTTTCCTATATTGTTACGAATTTTCTATCTTTACGTTGATATGTATTTTTTTTTTAAATAACATTATATACAATTAGATAAGTTCCAAAGACTCATGTCTTTCATGACGCAACTGAGGTGCAAAGCAACTCAACTTGATGGCTCACCATATTGAGTTTGCACTCGTGTGTGGTGAAATTTATTACAAATACATCAATATGTGTGTATGAGTATATCAGCAAGGGTGCATGTGATTGATGTGAATGAAAAGGAGACAAATGAAACCAAAGGATATGGTGTACTTGAAATCAAAATTTATGGCATCCATTTCACCATAAAGGCATATTGGATGAGTTCAACCACAAATATCAGTCATTTTCTCAATTTATCTAAAGAAACAAAGGAAATATTGCGAGGAACGGGCTCAAAGCATACGTGATCAAGGTGGCGGGGTGGCATAAACGTCTTGAGTTCCATTCTAAAAGGTCTCAATTTAATATTCAGAAAGTGCAGGAAACATGACATAACTCCTTTCATTGAAATTCATAAGCATCACACATCACAGTATTTGATATGATTCTATAATTTAAAATGCACTCATTCAACTTACCATACGATCCATGAGAGTGTCGCTCAAGTCCGCACCTAAGTAGAACAAAATGACCAAAATTAGAACAGCATCCACAGAGATATCATAAGCACCAAAGTAGAAAAAAATGACCAAAATTAGAACAGCATCCATAGAGATATCATAAGCGAATCAAGAGATAATTGCTATTTGATATTCTTGGGTGGGAGGAATCACTTCAACAATGTATATGCGTCAAAATTAACTAGCAAGTGAACGCTAGAAATGTCACATGGACTAGGAAGATCAATGAAGTTATAGAAATTAACTAAATGCTTGTGGTAGCAGATCATAAATCATTATAATATCTCGTAGCAATATAAGGGATGGATGCTCCACCACGTTCTCATACAAACGTATGCTTTTTATTATTTATATTTGATTCAAAACATGCTCACTCATTAGAAAAAGAAAATAGAGCTTAGAATCACATATTGAAAGCATTTTTGGCAATTCAGTGTCCAGTATAGACATATCTAGATATATAGTAATATTATTGAGGAGAAACACATCCAAATCACAAGAGCAGTTGAAAACCAATAAGATATTTCCTTATTTATCAGAGTGCATGCGTAAAACCCTACCAGAGAAGTTTGTTCGATATGCCACTGCCTTCTCAAGATAAGCACCGTTAAATGTGGAACCACTAAAATCAGACTCCCTCATATCAGCAGAGGTGAAATTTGCTCTTCTGTTTAAACAATTTAAACACCCCTTAGAAATCCAATTTTATAAATGTCAATAACAGCACTGGTGTCATCAAAACATGAAGTATCAATCTAGTAGGACATGATTACTACATCATCATCATCACCACATCATCATCATCACCATCATCATCCGAGCCTTATCCCAACTATTTGGGATCGGCTACACAAATCATGTTCCGCCATTTCACTCTATCAAAGGCCATATCCTCAGTCAGACCAAATGCAATTTTTGATTCATTGACTTTGCTCATTAGGATATGCTGTTTTTCCACTTAATGGAATGACAAAAAATGCTACTATAGAATGTCCATAAATATTTTAGTTGCGTTTTTAGTTGCAGTGCAACTTTCATGCTTTAAATGTTTCACTTTTACGCAAATGAATGAAATAAATTTATTGAATATGCACGATATTAAGTATTTAAAAAGAAAACTCGTAAAGGAAAATAACGAGTCACTTCAAATTATTCTTTTTCTTTTGTTGATGGCTGCCCCAATTCAAACCATTTATAGTCTTAAATTGGTTAAAAGTGTCCAAGAGCGTGCGTGCGTGCGTGCGTGTGCATGTGCATGTGTATGTGCGTGTGCATGTGCATGTGTATGTGCGTGCCTGCGTATTTTTATGTTGTTCATCTAATAATTACTGAGAATTTATTCCTTTTCGCTGTTTCACGTTTATGCAAACATGAAATAAGTTTATCGAATATGTACAACATTTATAATTAAGTATTTAAAAAGTAAACTTATAAAGGAAAATAACAAGTCACTTCAAATAACTCTTTTTCTTTTGTTGATGGCTGCCCCAATTCAAATCATTATAGTAATAAATTTGTTAAAAGTGTCCATGAGAATGTGTGGGCGTGTGCAGCATGCATGCATGTGTGTGTGTGTGTGTGTGTGTGTGTGTGTCTTTTGTGTTTTTGTTCATCTAATAGTTACTGAGAATGTATTCCTTTTCACTGTTTCACTTTGGCACCTTGGTCTTTATGACTACTAGAACTCATTTTCAGTTGCTAAGAAATTGTTAGAAATTTGCATGATTTTGCTCAGCTTACAAGTGTGAACCCAATAGAGGATAACAATCTAATATCTACAAACAGGCCCCTGCACAATCTAGTAATCGGATGTAATACTCAACAGTTATGCCATAATGTCATTATTGTAGACCAGAGAATTTGCAACTTGCTAAAAGTGACCCATGTGACTAGAGTGTAGACAGCGGAAATAATCTTCATAGATGCAGAGCTAAGTCCATTTAAGATGAAAAGAAGATGTCAAAAGCTTCAAAAGGCACATTAGTAACCTTGGTAAACTCCCTCTTAAAGTCCATCAGATATCTAAAATGAATCAAAGAAGTTACAAAACTAAACATATAGATGATCTTAGAAAATCGTTTTTCCTGGATGTATGGTATAGATCCTAGTTACTTAGCTTATATATGAAATGGTTGGTCCTGATCACAGCGTTCTGGACCTCCTAAGTAACATGATGATTACATTTTTTTTCTTTTTCTTTTGAAAATTTGCTGAACACATTTTCAAAAAAGAACAAAACAAAAGTTGGCGAACATGATAGTCATAATAACATGAAACATTTTTTATAGCCATAATAACATGAAACATCAAGCAGCCAATATACTTTGCATGATGCCCAGTTGCTCTGGTTAGCTTCTCCAATGGTTAGATATTAGAAGAATTGAAAGAACATAAAAATTAAAAACATATGAAATAATTAGGCATCTAAAGTGAGGTCAAACTCATAAATTTTGTCATTTCCAAGAGATTCCAGACAAAACGTATCACCTGAAATTTTCATTTGCATGGACTGTCTTCCTGCACAAGAACAGGACTTTATCAATTCTTGTTTGAAACATACAACATTATATTGTGGTTAAAAAATATAATTCAAGACTCAAAGATTTCAATGGAAATCTATAATGATAAGAGGACCTCAGGTCAGCCGAACCAAATTGAGCTGCTGAGCCTATGCCAAATTCACCACGGGTTTCAGCTTCATATTTATTGAGCTCGGCCTGAGCACTCATTCCAGAGAAAACAATGGCAGCTGCCAATGTTGTTGTAAGGATTACCTGCCACTTCCTTGGTTCTTCTGCATTGTCAAAATTCAGAAAATTTTGAATTAATAGAATACTATGACATATCAGGGATCCATATAGGTTCATTACCAATTTTTTCCCTTTCCTTGTTTCAATTTGTTCAAGAAGCATTGTCCTATAAGACACTGTGAAGTATTGGAATAAAGCAAAGCACGCTATGTTTGGGTGAAGAAGTGAAAATGAGAGTAGTGAAGAAGTGAAAATGACTCCAATTTGTTCTCCCCTTTAGTGATTTTCCTCAAACCTCAAAAACCTTAAAGTGAGGGGCCAAAAAGAAAAAATTTTCACTTCTATTCTTCTATCTATACATCCCACTACAAAAAAGCCAAAATTTCAATGAGAAACCCTAATTATAAAATTGTCTTATTTTTCCCTTTCTTTCCCTTACTATTTTTGTTTTATCGAAAAATAGCCCATTCCACATGGGGCTAGACCACCAACACTATAACAATCTCCCCTTCTAGACCTATGAAGGACTTCCCCCCCTTAGTAGATCCCATGCCCAATATACGTGTGCTCGGGTAGTACCCATACTTGCCAAGTCCTTACAAACTTGTCCTTTGTCGAGGTGCCTTCATCATCATATGTGATGGATCACGATCAATATGGATTTTCTCTAGTTGCATCGATTGATGCTGCAAGAATCTTGGATCCAATGATAGTGAACGTCTACATGCTTTGTCCTTACATGAAATGTCACGTTCTTGCTTAGTTCTATAGCACTTTGACTATCATAGTGCCACAGAATGCTTCAAACCCAATTCTTGTGAAAACCTCTTCATTCAAAATATTTCTTCACCTGCTTCTGTATCTGCTATATATCCTACCTCCATGGTGCCACAAAATTGTCTTGCTTCAAACCCAATTTTTGTGAAAACCTCGTCATCCACAATATTTCTTCACCTGCTTCTGTATCTGCTATATATCATATCTTCATTATGGATAAAGCAACATAACTCTGCAATTTGGATTGTCATGCCATGGCTTCCCTGCAAAAATGAAGAAGTATCCCAATGAGACTTCCTAGAGTCGACATCTCTAGCCATGTTTGCATCTGATGTCCTTCTAGCATAGGTGTTTCATTTCCCAAGCATAAAATAGCTTGGATATACCTTTATGAGAATCCACTTCACTGTAGTCCAATTTTTTTTGCCAAGGTTAGCAAGAAATCTACTTGCTAAGCCAATTGCATGTCTAATGTCTAGCCTCATACACACCATGGCATACATCAAACTCCTCACTGCTCAAGTACACGGAACATCTTTCATTTCTATTTTTTCCTTATCATTTCAAGGATTCTGCCTTTCACTTAAAGTGTCCTGCTGGTGGCATGCTAACCGGCTTTGCATTCTTCACATTGAACTTTCCAAACACCCATTCAATATATTTTTCTTGTGAGGGCCGCAAATTCTTTGTTTTCTTATAACATTTTATCTCATGCCAAAAACCTATTGCGTTGGCCCTAAATTTTCATGCTAAAGAACTTGCTTGATTCTTTTTTTATGTTGTCAATAATGTGAAGATCTTGTCCAACTATTAGCATGCCATCATCATAAATAGAAGAATAATGAGCCATCATCAGAAAATTTCTTATGGTTTACAATTTCTTCATGTACCCATGGCTCATCATAATGAGTCAAACTTCTTGTACCACTGCCTGTGTGTTTGTCGCAATCCATATAAGTTTCTCTTCAGTCTGCAAATCAAGTGTTATTTACACTTCACTTCAGATCCTTTTGGTTGTTCAATACAAATATCTTCCTCAAAATCACCATGAAAGAAGGGAATTTTGACATCTATTTGTTTTTCTTATCTTCTTTCTTTTTCTTTCTTTCTATCTTTTCTTTTCTTTTTTCTTTTTTTTTTTTTTTTTTTTTTTCAAGCTTGCAGCTAGACATAGAATCACACAAATAGATGACATCTCCACAATTGCTAAAAACTTTTCATCAAGGTTAACACCTTTTTTCAGCTCAAAGCCTTTTACAACTAGACGAGTTTGTACTTATTTTGCCTTTCATCTTCTTTCTTCAACTTGAAGACCCACTTGTTTTATGGTGCTTTCTGGCACTTTTGTAATGCAACCAGATCACATGTATAATTTGTTTGTACATGTACCCTGCTTCTTTGAAACTTTCAAGCTCTCCACCATTAGCAAGCATGACATACTCAATGGAAGCATACTTCTTTGATGGTTGGCTCCCCCTAGTGCACAACTAAATTGATCCATCATTGGTGATTTTTGAGGGGGTTGCTTCCTTTGCTCAGCATAACCATATATTGAAGAATTATCACCGACTACTTCTCCATAATCTTCTTGTACGCCTTCCTTGTTGTCACATGTCATCGGATGAGGAACTCGAGTGAAATTTATAAGGCAGTCTATATTACCTTCTGGTTTCTCAACTTTCAGAGTCTTCAATTATTTAGTCTTCATAAAAAGCCACATCACAACTTCTAATTACTTTCTTTTCTTCTGGATACTACAACCTCTTTTCAAGCGCTTTGCATAAGTTAAGAAGATGCCTTGTGTTGACTTATCATCAAGCTCCAACCTTTGTTCTCTCGATACATGAACGAATGTTTTGTAACCAAATGCCTTCAAGTGTTAATATGAGGCATCTTTTCCCAATCCTCACTCTTACTGGATATACTCCCTTGAATGGAACTAAAAGAAATAGATTAATCAAATGGCACACAGTGTGCAAAGCCACAATCCAAAAGGATTTAAACAATTTAGCAAGAGAGCGTCCACCTACTTCTTTCCATGATAGTGTAATTCATCCTTTCTACTATACCACTTTATTACGGGGTCGGGGAATAGACTTCTCATGTCTGGTGTCATAATTTCTATATTATCATGTGAACAACTCTGAAGTATATTCCCCGTTATTATATACGCGGATAAAATTTAAAGGCTTCCCAGTTTCCTTTTCAGCACTAGCATGAAAATATAGAAAAATATCAAAACACTTTTGTCTTTGGTTTTCATAGCATATGCCTACACTTTTCTAGAAGCACCATCTATGAAAGTTACAAAATAAAAGGCACCGCCAACAGATTTAACTGTCATGGGACCGCATACTTCAGAGTAAACCAATTCTAAAATATTTATTTTAATTTAACAAATATTTTTAGATGAAATAGCTATATAATCAAACAATGACAACAGTGATTTAATGGTGTCTTTCAAGTTGCAAGGTAGTTGTTTCTTTGCTAGAATTTGTATTCCCTTATTACTAATAGGAGCAGGCCACTTATTCCAAATGTTTTCATGACAGTGTTTACTTCATCCATACGTAATTGCTCATGCTTTTTATAAAAAACTTCTTTCATCTTACCACCAAAAGAGACCATTGGTTAAGACTCCACATGCATTACCAGAGCTATTACTATAGCCTTTTTCATCCAACTCGCCAGTGAAAATTAAATTTAGTCTAAATCCACGACACGTCTAGCATCCTTGAGAGTCTATTTGCATCCAACATTGATTTCCACAACAAACATGACCCATTTCCACAGTTTTTTATGTGCCACTGTTTCTCATCATTACTACGCCAAAGTTTCCAAACTCATAGGATGTAAGGAAATCCATCTGTGGATTAGCATGGTAGGAAACACCACTATCAACAATCTAGGTTGTATCTTGACATGCAACACCTAACAAGCCTTATCAAAAGATGGATGATAATATCATCATTGCAAGCAATGCAGTGGTTTCCTTCTTTTCCTTGTTCTCTATCTTAAGTTTTTGATGCTCCTTTTTCATGTGTCCAGGAAAGCCACAATGGCAGCAATTTATACTGTTTCTTGATTTGGACCTTCCTTCTTATCTTTCACAATTGTGAAGTTTCCGACTTGTACTTCTCCCACTATTTTTTATGACATGAATTCAAGGATTTTTTTTTATTTTTTATTTTTTGTAATTTCCTCATTCAATGAAATATTTGTAACTTGGCTTATTGTTACTTTCCTATTTGGAGCGAAGTTGCTAAGAGACACCACCAAAGTTTCCCAACTATCAAGTAATGATCTCTCGAATAACAAGGCCCACAACTTGTCATTCATGCCCATCTTCATGGAAGAGAGTTGATTCACTATGCTTTGTGTCTCATTTAAATACTCTACAACTGACATACCCTCTTTGAACTTCAAATTCACTGGCTTTTTTATTAGGAAAGATTTGTTTCCCCTCGTCTTTCTTTAGTACAACCCTCCCAATTTCTTAAAGCAGGAGTGTGCCGAAGTTTCATTCGACATGTTTCGAAATACCTTGTCATCCAGCCATTATCAGATGTACCCAATAGTTTTCCAATCTAGTTACTCCACTCCTCATTTGTCATTTCTTTTGGTTTAGCTCCATTACCATAACGGAAGTAAACAGTTTTCTAATCTAGCTTCCTCCGCTCTTCATCTGTCATTTCTTTTGGTCTGGCTCCATCATCCATAATGGGAGGATACAACTCTTTGCAGTATAGGACATCCTCCAATTTTTCCTTCCAAACCAACCAATTATTTTCGTTTAAGCTAATCGGCCTTCTTGTGTTTTCCTCCATGATTTGCAAAATGAAAATAACCCTACTCAACTTGGTTAGAATAACCTTAGCATAGAGAGGTGGAGCCAGCTTGGATTTGCCGTTGCAAGATCATACTTTCCTTAGTGATGCATGGAGAAAATAAAACTGGAAGAATACAAATAAATAAATAAATAAATAAAGAGTCGAGAGAATATACCATCTGTCAAGGTTAGCAAGGGAATCCACCCCAAAATGATCTTTTCACAAGATCAAATTTACTCAATTCTCATTCTCTCATCTCTTTACAATGAAGGGAGATCTCCCCTTTAAATAAAAATTAATAAATAAATAAATAAAACCGATAAAAATATAATCTCTCTCACGTACCACCTTATATCTTGTCTCCCTCTTTTCTCTTGCACTTTCTTCAATTCTTATCCACATCTTTCCCATATCCAAATCTCTTATCTTTTCCATATCTAAATCCCTTAAATTTATTCAAAGCTCATCTTCTTCTTAGTCTCTTCTTCTCCCAATGTGAGGTCCCATAAATCTCTAATCAAATCTAACTAAACCTCATGCTGCTTAATATAAGGTAAGCTTAAAAAAAAAAAAAAATCACGCCAAGATTTACCTTTGCTAAAAAAACTCATGCCAACCACTCCCATTCTTAAAAAGACAAATTCAAAAAAAATAACAAAACCATAGTTATTAATTTTTTTCATAAATTTTATCTACATTATTCTCCCGGGGTTGGGAGAAGCTCGACCTCGAGCTTATAAGCAATCACCATCTACTAATTGGTAATGTAGTCCCACCATGCGCCTTAGCACCTTTTCTTCAATTTCTTCATTAAATAGATTCATAAAATGCTTTGTGTTTATCTCGAAGTAGAACACAGGGATCTCAAACTCCATCATGATCTTTTCTTTTTCTTTTGCAAGTTCCTCGTAAAACTTAGAAGATCTAGTTGAGTACACATTTCTTGTCTATAAATTTCTTCATTACAATCGGGGTTAGCACCCTGGGTTTGTCGTGGGACTACTGGTGCAAGATCGATGTGATTGCGAGCACCTTCTTCGAGATGAAAGTTGTTCTGCAACCGTTGTAATCGTTGATTCATTTCACGAAATTCAATTTGAACATCCTCCATAACTTTGGTCAAATTTTCTAAAACTTGTCCCAGTCGATCATACATAGTCGGCATTGCAATAGTTGGATCTTACTTGCTCTGATACCAACTGATGCAAGGAGAAAATAAAACCAGAAGCATAAAAAGAAAAAAGAAAAAAGGTTGAGAGAATATACCTTCTCTCATGGTTTACACGAGAATCCACCCCAAAAAGATCTTTCTACAAGATCAAATTCACTCAATTCTCATTCTCTCATCTCTTTACAATGAAGGGAGATCTCCCCTTTAAATATGAAAAAATAAACAAATAAAAAAACCATAAAAATATAATCTCTCTCACGTACCACCTATATCTCTTCTCCCTATTTTCTCTTTCACTTTTTTCAATTCCTATCCACATCTTTCCCATATCCAAATCTATTATCTTTCCCATATTTAAATCCCTTAAATCTCTCAATTCTCATTCAAACCTCTTCTTCTCCCAACGTGAAGCCCCATAAATCTCCAATCAAATCTAACTAAATCTCACACTACTTAATATAAGATAAGCTTAGAAAAAAAAAACAACTCACACCAAGATTTACCTTTCTTAAAAAACTCATGACCCATTCCCATTCTTAAAAAGATAAATTAAAAAAAAATAGTTATGAATTTTTTTCCTAATTTTTATCTGCATTACTTAGCTGACTGACAGGTCTGGAATTCCAGATTTGAGAAGGGAAACCATCCAGCGTACCAGCTATCTTGCACGCTATGCCATGGACTTCTATTTGGAACTGGCTTCCTCCACTTCCTTCTAACCGCGAACTCACGACAGAATCAGGGATAGCAGCTGCTACCTGAACCCAGCTTATAGATTCACGTTATAAGGGAATGGTCTAAGACTGCTACCTACTGGCTTGGCTCAGCATTAGCTACTCCATTCAAGTTAGGGAGCTCACGCGGAAGGCAATGTAAGCTCGGTCAGCAAGAGCAAGGTCGGGAGAGGTAGCTCACTCACTCTGCAGAAGAGTAGTTCTTCGGGTCGGGACGAAACCTAGAGAAAAAAAGTATAACCAGGCTTGGATACCATTTGTTAGGAAGTGATGCCTTCCCATCTATGAGTGAATCAAAGAAAACATAAAATAATAATATTTTAGAGGAAATTGCGCGATCAACCACTTACCAAGATTTTATATAGAAAAACCTTCAAAGAAAGGGAAAACCATAGCGCACGATAGACAAAATCTACCACATAACTAAAGAGTTGCAACGGCTCTTCCCAAGCCGATTGAACGTAGTTTGAGGATCTAGGGGCAAGAAAATTCATAAATATAGGGTTACCACTGTGATATTGATTACCTGTCTTGCTCCTCTTCTCAAAAGTGTAAAAAGAATATTCGAAATGGCATTCAAAAATTCTGAGCTTCAACCACGTATCAAGAAACAAAAACAAAAAAAAAAAAAGAGAGAAGCAAAAACAACTCCAATGGATCTCCCTTTTTGCAATTTTACCCACAAAAACCTAGGGTGAAAAAGTGAACTAGACAACCATTTTGCCACTATTCTTCTTTTCACACATCTCACTACAAAAAGGCCAACTTTTTTAATGAGAAACCCTAACTATAAAATTTACTTATTTTCCCTTCCCTTGCTATTTTTGCTTTCACAACAAAGTTGCCCACTCCACATGGGCTATACCACCAACATGGTAACACCTCTAGCTTACGTGGTGATAGGATCATCTCTGGTTTTCCATGTAACTTAAAAACTTACACGATCCCAAACAAGCAACTTGATACTCTGATTGAATGGTTTCATAACACCATACTCAGAGAGGTTTGGAAATTGCCTACTAATGTGTTCCTAGATTGTCGTTCTTCAAGATTATGTGAACAATTAAAGCCCATCTTAAGAGGTTTAAGCAACTATTCCTCATGAAAGATATGGGATAAGCGGATAAGGGTATCTTCCATAGTTCCCTGAATTTGAGCATAATCATCAAGTTTATTACACAGGAAGACTACCAAAATGATTTTATCTGGTGAGCTAGACTTATTGACAATAAGCAGGTTGATATATAACCAGTTTAATCCTAAGTGACTAAAGTTGGTGTCCTTCCAATTTCCTAGTCCCAGGTAGGTTATTTCATCTATTAATAACTAGCTGATAAGGAGCTCCTATAAACCACATATAACTCCATTAATTCAAATAAAATTCATAAAGGAACGCATAGATTGAATAACAGAAGCAGAAACACCCAAGTTTTCAGCAATTGCAACTTCCGCTTTCAGTAATTGTTACTGGGTTGCATGTTATGCATACAAGTCCATATATTCAGGAGAAAAACAGTAGTGACCATATCAGTAATACCACAATTATGTGAAGAAAAATTTCAGTTGGGTTTTTCATTCGGAGATAAATTTTTTCAAATTACAAAAGAAGAATTTGAGTTGGATAGTCCATGTTCACAAAATCACTTACCATGAAAATTGTGGTTGTCCTTTGAAAAATGGCAGATAACCGCAACAGGAGGTAGCTTTGACGTACAAACCATGCGTGGGTGAAGGTTATGGCGAATTCGAAATGTGGAAAACGAAATATTGGGCGGTATGTGGAGATTAAACAGAGATGATGATAACGTTGAAGCGGATGCCATTGCAAAAGAAGTCAGTGCTCAAAATAGGGACGGACGGATAACTGAGAGTAGTTATTCTGCCAACTCATCTTCTTGTGGCCACGTTTCGCAAAATTCGCTTGGAGACAATTTCCAAGACGATGGTTTGTTCTTTTATTCGAAGCGTGTGGTTTGTACTAGGCTGAGGCTTTGAGTACTGGAAATCTGTGTGATGCTATGAAAATTTATTTTTATATCAATTAATAAAATTTTAAATTTTAGAAATAATGTACATCGAGTACATATAAATATGTATTACATGATACACTATTCCCAAGATTTCAATCTATTTTTCTTATGTCTATACATCTTAAGGACAAGACGATCCATTTGAAGATTTTTAGGCATCAAAGCAAACCCCTTCTAGTAAATTTTTGAGGTATGCCCTAATTTAGTTGTTTAGGGCGTCACTTTATATAAGCTTTTTTCTTATTTGAAAGTCGCTTCATGTGTAATTAAAAAATAAAAAAGAGGTTTTATATTATACAAGTATGCTCCTCTAAAATTTACCAGGATGAAGTTCTAGTTCATATTCAACCCTAATTATAAAATTCTAAAAAAAGTGTAAATTGAGTATATCTATAAACTTGAAAATAAATAATATGTTACCATAAGCACTATTTTTAAGATTGATTTTTTTTGTTCTTTATATCCATATATCTTGACATCGAGATGATCAGTGGCAAGTTTTACAACTTCATAATACTCTTTTCTAATGGATTTTTTAGGCCTTTTCTTTTCAAAGATACTTCATGTTGTATAAGGGGAAAATATCAACTAAATAACCTAATAAACTTATAAATAGTATTTTGAAACCCGGTAATTAAATTAATCAGGACGGAACCAATTCTAGCATGGTGTAGTTTTATACCCGGTTGCCCTTAAAACTCCCTCTCTTACATTTCTTTTTTGTCTTTTTTTATGCTTGTCTTATGATTTTTTAGGCCCATTTTAACCCCCCACCACATAGATTTTGATTTTTATTTATTAATATTTTTTGGATCACTAATCTAGACTTGATGTAGATCGTCGATCCAGCAATCCAAAATGGATCCAGGTTTAAAATACTGCTAACAAAATCAAACTCATTAAAGTGTTAGTGTCACCCTTTAAATTTGATTGCAGCTTCCTTAAAAAATATCTTGAACAAATTGCCCAAATTTATGTTAAAATCAGCAAATTGCTGGTCCTATTCAAGATTGGGAATCTAAAACAAACAAAGGCATTTAGGGAATGTCTACCTACCTAAGTTGGCTGAGCCAAATGATGACAATACTCCTAATTATTCAAGATTAACAAGATGGAACAACAATTTACAATTGAAACAAATGTTTTTTTGTGTTCCTAATAGGCACATCTATGTTGCTAACCTTGAATAACAAGGGGCATTATTCTGAGAAAAAAAATTACCAAACTACCCCTAGTTGTTTAGCATTGTGGCCACTTGAGTGGGCCAACTACCGAAAATGCGCGAAACTTTTTAGAGTTCACAAACCTAAATATGCACAATTTGGTAACTTTTAAGCATATTTTTTGAGGAGATAACCAACTAAAATCATACTTTAAAGTAAACTCTCTCTACTTTAAAGTAAACTCTCTCAGTTGAATGGGATGTTCTGACTACTTTGACAATTTTGTAAGGTGGTTCGACTATTTAATTGTACTTTTATTAAAAATTGCTTTAAGAAGTGTGAAATAAAAAGAAAAATTTCAAAAGAAAATGAAATATCATCTTGTTTTGTCATCTTCTAAAATATTTTTTTCATATTAATTTTGTTTTTGTTTTTATCAAATTAGTCATAGCTCATTGTGATGTTAAAAGTCAATTTATCGATCTCCACATATTACGGCACAATTAAAGTAGAAAACTTCCTATAAAAACCATATTACTTGACATGATGTAAGGCAGGTGACTTTGGCTTCAAATTCTCATTGAATTGTTGAGCTCCACCCCACTTGCACATGAATTCTCAAGCGATGTTCTCAAACCTCACAGCCTGCAAGTAGAGGCCCATGATTGGTCCTTTAAAAGACGCCTATAGGTAGTGCAACTACAGTGTTAATGGATTTTAGGTGTCTTCTAATGACAAGTTCTCCCTTTTAAGTTTACGCACCAAAACATGATGGTACCGGGGTTCTCTTTTTGGTACATGTGGACATTCCTCCCTAGTAGGTATCTTCTTATAAGCATAGTTGTATATGCATATGCCTTTGGGTGGCAATATCAAGGATTTGGCCCTCGTCCTAATATGTCGTCATCCCATGCATGAATATATTTTTTTCAATTAATTTTCATTGGGCATCTCTTTGACCTCGAACAGGACACCCTATAAACCCTCCTAAGTTCGTCTTTATTCACAATGTTAAAGGATTTCAATGACTCAAGGCACCACTTCCAAGCCCTATCGGATAGGCATAAGCTACACCCCCAATCCCCTCCTTGAGAACCAAGCACGAGTTTGAGTACACACGTGTCAAAGCCATGAAAGGCCACGAACCTCCAACACAGGTCCTATTCTACAAGGAGTTTTATCATAAAATTTGGAGACAATCATCCAACATCCATGATAGTGTTGTTCCTTATGGTTTGGATTTTGCGAGAAATCTAAGCCTTCATTGACACATTTTTAGTATGATACAAACCAGTAGCCTTTTGGTGTTTCAAACTTAGATTTCTCCAAAGTTAGAAGGAGTATTATCATGAAATTTGGTAAATGTGTTCCTCATATAATCCTCTATTAGATTAACAATGTCCCATAACTAATAATCTTCTGATTGGAAAGAGATTTGGCCCATAATGGATAGGTCTATTATGGAAAATCTAAAATTGTGATAAAGCAAATTTGAAGGGTCATATCTCCGTCATTTCTAATCCATTTGACTTGAAATTTATGGAACAGAATCCCCTTTGAATCCTCTTTCAGCATATGAAATTTCAAGTTAGAAGGACTGACCATTTGTAAACGATCTAATGTGTTGTGGACTATGCTCATACTAGTATTTGCTTATCCGCTATTGTATTCAGACAAGAAATCCACGAGATTTTCTTGGGGCAAATCCCATCACTTTGGGCTTGTTTCACCTCAAAACTCAAATAATTCATATCTTATTATGACCCTATGAGAGAGGAGTACTCTAGCCACCTTGAATTTGGATGAATACAATTTTTTTATCATGATTATCATCTCAAGTAGCGAATTTGGATTAATACAATTTTTTTATCATAGATTTTCATCTCCAGTAGCCCATATAGATTGTTGCCAAGGGATAAGGATTGAAAGAGAGAGAGACTAAAGTCAAGAATAATATCCAAGAGTGCTGCATACGACACTTTGAAACTCCAGGAGCATGAGAGAAAGAACACTACACCAGTTTAGGACTCAAATCAAGGAGATCTTTCAACATCAACATACTGAGGTATAAAGAATCGTATATTCGTATGTGACTTAATTTTTATACTTGGGGTTATCTAAAATTCAGAAAATTCCAGCACCCTCCATTGAAAATTTAATTCCTTAACATAATTCTAGAACATTCCAAACGAAAAAGACATGTCGAGTCCCCCAATTCCTTTCAAATTGTATCACAATCCATTGTTCAAGATGCGCATAGTTTGCCCTAAACAAATGTAAAAATTACACTGGTAATCTTGGACTCAGTGCATCCTCATCAACCAGAAATATTCTAGTGAAGTACTTGGAGCCCATTGGACAAAGTGTACTCCAACAAGACAAGTAGCTCAAGAGGAGTCCATAACAAATACAAATTGCCAAATAAGGACCAAACAAATGTATTAACCAAAGACCATAGTAAAAATTTGTAGGAATGCCAAAAATATCCCCCATGATCCAAATCAAACTTGGGACTGCAAAAAAGTGTAAATGGGGAACCAATGCAACAATGAGGAACCTAAACAGTAAAATATTCACCCCCTGTGATGCTACTCTCTTCCCAAGTTCTAGGGCAAAATAAACAATGATAGCACATCCACCTAGGTCTCTAATGATAACATCACCACCTTAACCCCAATCTCATGAATACAATAAATTTTCCAAACAAAAACTGAGTGTTATCACATGGAACATATGGGAACTAAACAACCTTGATAAATTGGACCAAATTAGGAACTTTATTTGAAACCATATTAGTTTTTATGTTATTTTATTATGAGTGATGTAATGAGGTTGTACTTGTAAGTTTGTTTAGTAGAAAGTTATGAAATTACTAGGAGATTAGTAGCTATTGTTGTAAGTTAGTAGTTATTGTTGCAAGTGGGTAGTTATTGTAGGAAATATGGTTGTAAAATATCTATTTAAAGAGAGGTTTGTAGCGAGAAAAGGGGGTCACATGTTTTAAGGTTAATCTTGGGTGTCAAGATTATAATGCCTTTGTGCACCCTCGGTCACATATATAAAGGTTAATCTTCGGTGTGAAGATTGTAATGCCTTTTTGTACCCATGTTTTTTCTTTAATGAATGTTGCTCTTCCACTTCATTTGGGTAGCTCTTCCTCTTTCTATTTGGTTGTGAGTCTTGGGCTAGTGTGACATTGTTACACTAACTGAGATGCGGATTGTTCTGATGTTGTACCATCCATCTTTCTCTACATGGTATCAGAGCCACAAAGGTGGTGGTGATGTTGTCTTGACCCTTGGTGAAGAAGATTAATTGTTTTTTTTTAAGATGGATTCGGTTGGAAGGTCTAATGATTTTAATATTGAGTTGGGAATTCAACTCAAAGCAGTTTTTCTATTTCTTAGCTCTTCTTAACGATCTGGGATCCCTGTTTAGAGATCTCTCTTTGATCTGGAAGAACCTATTCGAAGGCACGAATGAAGTGACTTATCATTCGTAGGTTAAAGAGGGAGTATATTCCCTATGCTATTTCTATTCAA